TATTATTTTTTTTTTCTTCAATATATATATATAAACTCTTGTACGGTAATAAAAATTAGAATATTTAATAACAATTTCATTTGTCTAAGTACTCACATAAATAAATATTACAATAATAATAATAAAAAATAATAATAATAATAGTAAAATACAATATTTCAAAAAAAAAAAAGAATAAAATGAGACAAATCATAAATGTAATGTATAATATATATATATGTGTGTGTGTATGTATATATTCAATTTTTGTGTTAATAATCAGAGAGAAGATTGCGTCTTTTACATAGAGTAGTAGTAGTAGTAATAATAATAGTATGCGTAGTAAATACATATAGTCGTCGTCTGTGCACAGACAGAACAAATGCACATGGTTTCATATAATAAATTGTTCGAAGGAATACTGCTGTATACAAAAAAAAATTATAACAATATATGCTTACAGAAAGAGAGAGAGAGGAACGAAGGGTAATGATTACATACAATTGATTTTTTTTGGAATGTTTCAATTAATTTAGCTTTCTGGAAGAACCGAAACTAAACAAAAAAACAAATAATAAAAAATATATATATTAGAGAGACAAGAGTTGTGGGGAGACATGTGGATAGGGAGAGAGTGAAGAGGAGGAAACGATTTTTGTTTGTTTTCATTTTCAATTCGCGCCAGCTGAGATCCTGAAACATAATGATTGATCGATCGAATGAAGGAAGGAAGGAGGGGTGGAAGGGAAGGTCCGGCCACCTTCGCATCAGAAAAGAATCGATCTACAATATCTATCTATCTATCTATATATATATATAATCTACCCATTTTAATTATTATTATTATTTAATATATTGTGTGTGTAAATATAATAAATATTCTCCGCTCTCGCAATTTGTACTACGTTTACATGAATTGGTGTTTCCGCATTTTGAACCTAATTACACAAAAACAAAAAAAGAATAAAAACCCTTTCATAACAATCAAAACACCTTCGACAAAACAATAACTCAAAAACCCCCACCCACCCCCCACTCCTAGCACTAGACGTTCCTTTCCGATCGAAGATGCGGCCCGAAGAGAAAGAAAAACAAATGAAAAAGAAGCAACAAATTTCCACTAGTAGTTTGATCGCGTTTTGTTTTTTTTCTTTTCTTTTCTTTAATAATTCGCCTAAATACACGACTTTTCACGTCGCATCAATTTCCTTCTTTTCTTTAAATATATATATATATATATCCTTTAAATCTAAATATCGTTAATCATAATACATTCACTTAATCCTATTTACACTGCACTAAGGAAACCGTAATAGGTAGTTTTTTTTTCTTTAATATTTATATATATATATATATAATAATGATAATGATGATCGTAACGTCCGCTTAATTTAAATTTTAATTAATTACAAATATATTCGTGTTTTAAGTGTTTACAAACGCTTTAGTACTTTCTTTTTTGCTGTTTTTTTAATTTACTTTATACAATTCAACTAGTCTCATCTCTAATAATTAGTTATTCTTTCTTGCTTTCGTTTAGTTCATTTTCTTTCTTTTAGTCGCGATGACAACACAAAGCATACAAAATGAAACGAAACAAAGGAGGATCGTAACGTAATTTTTGTTTTTCTTGTTTTGTTTCTTGTTTCGTCACGATAGTCTGATATGAACTCGTCAATGGTTATTTATGTACACGTCCTACATATAAGTATTATTATAGTATTCCAATGGATTATTCGATTAATGTATTAATTGTATTTGATTTTCCTTTTATACACTAGTCTTCTTTTGAGACAAAGACAAGAGAAAAAAAATACACTGGCACCGCAGTACAACAGCAACAACAACAAACAAACAAACAAACGAAAAAGAGAAAGAAAACAACCAATCAGTGTAAATTGTCACAGCTCTCGAATTCATGTTTGTTCTTTGCCTTAGTGTTTACAATGTGCTTTATTATTATTATTATTATCATTATTATTATTATTAATAATAGTAGTAGTATATGTATATATGATGCTTGGATCCATTTGCTAGTACAAAAAAAAGAATAGAGATGAATTCATGTTTTGTTTTTTGCTGTTGTTTTTATTTGGTATGTATGTATGTGTGTGTGAGTGTGTGTGTGTTTTATGTCTTTCGTGGCAGTGATTTCATTCATTATACATTATTCTCATTCTTTGTCCTTTTGGTCGAGCAGATCATCATCCTCTTAATTACGTTTTATTTTTGCGAGATACCTTTTCTCCCTAACGATATTACTAATATAAATAAACGCGATCTGTTGATTTCAACGAAACAATAGCAATAAAAATCTATATACAAAAATATATAATATATGTATATATATAAAAAATCTATAAATATTTCTCTTGTGGCGTGACGCGCGATGGTGGAAATGGGATGGGGATTTTGTGGAGGATATGGATGATGATGATGATGATGAAGAGCGGCGGCGGCGATAGATTAGAAGCCGATATCGTTGAGATTAAAGGAGTCCGAGGCAAAGGTGTTGAGCAGTTCCTGCTCCGTGAGCCCGCTATCTCCTTGAATACCCAACATATCGAACAGCTCGTTGCTGCTTGCCGAATTGTTGGCGGCGGCGGCGCTCACCAATTGCTGATTGCCCATTGGCTGTTGCTGCTGTTGGTGGTGTTGTTGTTGTTGTTGGTGCATCGATTGACTCGACACCGACAACGATTGAGATTGCTGCATGTGGATGTTTGTCATCGACATCTGCAAATTATTTTCTCCATTACCCTCCATCATCCAACCGCCACGCTTCATCCCTCTCGCACCGCCGTGCGATTGCAACGGGGGGTGCATGTCTGTGCGTCTGTCTGCATACAATACCTGAGTATTGGCTTGCTGTTGCTGCTGCTGCACGACCGTCTGCTGTTGCTGCTGCATCATCATCTGCTGGTTCATCGAGTTCATTTGAGCCATCGGCCCCACTCCCTGCTGACCCATCATCTGCCCCTGACCACCCATTCCTCCACCCATTCCGCCGTGCTGACTTCGCATCTGCGGAGGCGGCTGTGGCTGCTGCTGCTGTTGCTGCTGCTGCATCGATTGCATCTGCATCCCTGCCGTATTCATATTGAATCCTGCAAAATCATGAAAATATTAACTGTACGGACAAGAGTTGATACTCGCTACTACGAACCTTGGTTGTGGAAGTTTGGCCTCATCTGAGCATTGAAACTGTTGCTCTGTTGTTGCGCCATCATCATGTGACGCCACTCGGCGCTCCCGTGCTGCGGCATTGCATCCATCGTGGATTGCGGAGGTGGCGCCTGCTGCCTTGGATACATGGATCTGCTGGTCATGTGTTGTTGCTGTTGCTGCTGCTGTTGTTGCTGCTGCTGCTGCTGCATCATGTACATGTTGTGCGGCCTCATCATAGGACCTACGAATGAAGAACAAATGTATTATTGTTGTAAACGCAAAAACAACAATATAAATATGCTTACCGGAAGGTGGCATCTGTTGGTGAGGTATCCGCCTGATGTTCGTGGGCGGAGCGACTCCTGGACCTCCGTACCTCGGGCCCATGCCTTGCATCATACCGGCTGTCGTCTTGTAATCAGGCGGGGGCGGCCGCAGAAGCAGAGGCTGCTGTTGCTGCTGCATTGCCTGCTGCTGCGCCCTCAGCATCTGCTGCTGCTGCTGCACCAGCTTCTGCTGGTCCATGGGACTCATGTGTCTCATACTGTTGGGACCCATCGGACCGCCCATCTGTCCGCCACCACCGCCCATCGGTCCCATCCCACCGCCGTTCCGTTGCCTGAGCGACTGCTGCGTGAAATTGATCGTCTGCGATTGGGTCATCGAGTAGCTACTATCGCCGAGCTGCGATTGCGGCCCCAGGTGCTGATTTCCGCCCATTCCATGGTGCTGGTTCATACCACCCATCATACCGCCGGGTCCCATCGGTCCTCCACTGTTCGCCTGCATAGTGGGATTCTGATGGTTCACGTTCTGCTGCATACCGGGAATATTGTTCGGCTGCTGCTGCATGGGACCACCGTGTCCGACATCCGACAGCAGCGATGCCGAAGGATGTTGCTGCTGCTGTTGATTTGATTGCTGATTACCAGGAGCATTATTGTTTGAGGGATTCGAAGACACGTTCTGCTGATTGCCCTGCTGACTATTATTCTGCGCCGAGTTCTGCGAGTTACCGCCCGCTGCGGGGTTTTGATTTTGATGCTGTTGCTGCTGCTGTTGATGTTGCGACTGTTGCTGCTGCTGATGTTGCGGTTGCTGCTGCTGCTGCTGTTGATTCTGATGTTGATGTTGATTTTGATGCTGTTGCTGCTGGAAATGCAGCCCCTGTTGCGTCGCTATCGAAACGTTTCCCTTCAAATCGCCACTGAGGTGTAGATGTTGACCAGCGGACACCTAAAATACGAAAACAACAACAATATAAGCATAAGCATCGAGATTTAACAGTTACATGCAGATATTTCAATTTCGCAACAGCGGAGAGCGAACGGAAAATCTATACACACACACAGACATACTTTCGTGTGGTGTGGTGAATCCCTATTGATCTAGAAAATTGTATGAAAGTGTGTGTATGCATGTATATGCTTTAGAGAGGGTGGTGGATCGGATGGATGTAGGTGGAGGAGAGAGAAGAGAGGAGAGAGACGGTCGAGTCAAACCCATTTCGCCCTGCACGAATCTAATGAAATCCAAAAACCAATATCATCATCGTCCCGAAGCGGCAATCAGTCAACCGAGCGAAACGACGCATCGTTCGTTCCATTCAAACATTAATTCCATGACCCGTTAGAATTTGAAATTACTACAAATAACAACAACAACGACGACATCAAGCATCAACGAGAGACCTTAAAGAGATGGTCCAAAAAAAAATTAAAACGAAAGAAATTAAGAAACATTTCTATGCAGACGCAGATTCAGCTCGACCTTACTACTTACTATATAGTAAACAGTTATCAACTATATTGGAAATGTAACAGCACAACTGTGCAACAGCACATCTATTATATAAATATATCGAAATAATGGAAGAATCTAGCAAATGTTGTTAAGAGTAGACGAAAAGTTCTTGCGCGATTCGAATTTTAATACTTTGAAAAATTTTCCGGATTCCGCGCGCGCGTATTGATTAGCCATATATACAAGTGGCGGCGACGGTGGTTGCGACGGAGAAGGCAGCGGCAGGATTAGAAGAGTTATATGTGTGTTAGCACACGCCCTCCTCTCCCAAAAGGGCTGCTGGTGCATAGCATAAAACGGTTTTGCTTTTCGTCTTGCCCTTTGTGTGATCCCAAAGGCAAGCCGAATGCAGGGAGCGCGTGTGTCTGAGAGAGACAAAGAGATGATGGAATAAAGCGTGAGACAGAGAGAGAGAGAGAGAGAGAGAGAGTGTGGATGGATGTGTTGGCACGCGCAGTGTTGTACGGATTGGATGGAGGAGGATGGATGGAGAAGGCGGCCGCAGGAGCAGCAGCAACCAGAGCCGACGGTGTGTGCGATGCTTGGCTTGCTAGCTCGTTCGCTCGCCGCCGCCGTCTTCTTCTCTGCCCGTGGGAATCCTCCGTCCGGACTGCTCGATGCTCGCTTCCTCGTTCGAGAATATAAGTGACAAAGCCGTTATCTACGTTAACCTGCACTGCGCAAAATGCAGTTATTCGATACATATACATGCGATACATATATATATATATATCTGTGTGTGTATATATGTATAGAGAAGAACCGAGTCTTAAACACTCCTCCATCCTCGTGCAATGAGAAATCTATGCTAGTTTCAACCCAGTTCTTTGCCCTTCATCAACACCATCACCCCAAACATCAACGCTTTTAATATTTAACTTAACATTACAACAATCTAATCCTCAAAATGCATACAAACTGTATGAATTAATAAAAAATCTGCATATAATTAAATTAATTGTAATGTTAATTGATTTCGTCAAATATAACATAAATTATTGTCGGAATTTAACAACAAGTCAAGAAGCAATAAGCATACAATATCTAGGTGAAAGATTATCACTAAATTTATGCCATTCCACTGGAAATAAAGGGACGAAAAGGGCGCTCCACGATTTAGCGGGAAATTCAAAAGAAGGTTGCGTGTCTATCTACTCATTTTATTTTGTTTCTTTGATTCAATAGGATAGAATACGCAACGCCGCACTGTTGTTGTGGTGCTTTTCCATGCAACCTTGGCGTTCCGTTGAGTGTACGTACGTGCACACCATCTTTCTTTCTCCCCCAATTTTCCATTAAGGGGTGACAAAAAATATGTTCCATGGGGTGAGCGTAGAGTTGCGCAGAGCAGCAGCCCCCAACAGAACTAATAATAATAATATATGGACGAAAAAAAAAAGTAAATAAAAATGAGAGAGAGACTGATATTGCGTAAGGGTGGAAAGGTTTATGCGATCGTGGGGGCCGTGGATAGTTTGGGTGAACAAGTCGAAAAGAGAAGACTAGACACGAATAAGGGGGAGAGAGAGAGAGAGAGAGAAAGATAGCAGACAGATGTACGTGGAAAGTGGCGGTACGAGCGTGAGGGGAGGTAATAGTGTGGAGGGTTCAGTTGTTTCACGTAACTGAACTTGTTGATATGTTATTGTTCGAGACGGCTGCGACGGCGGTGGCGAAAATCGTTTGGCTTTTTTTTTTAAACCGAACAGAATCCCCAATCAATGCACACAAGGACGAGGAGGAGCATGCATCAAAATTGAAGAGAACAGAGAAGAGCGCAACTACAACAGCAACACCGCTAATTCTCATTAAATGTTTATTATTTACATGTGTTGTGTGTTGGCGCAATGAAAGAAGGGTGGATCTTTCATTGCGCCAACACACAAACCGACCAATTTGACGTTGAAAAAGGGAAAATCGACCAAACCCCCCAGAGACAATATTTGCAGCATCAAATATTTAACGAATACATATTGGAACCTTAACGCTCGAGCATATATTTCCATTATACAATGATTTCAAAATGAAGAAAAACAAATGAGCAGAAAGTACCTTACCTCGCGGTACACCCAATTAAATTGCACTTTATAAAACAAAAAAAAAACTTTAATTGAAGAACTTGTAATCAATGTTGTTTGTTGTTTACTCCGAAAAGTGAGGAATGTGTTTTTCGTCTACGTATCGTCGATTTCGATTTTCTCCTTTTTTTTTTGCCGCAATCTGTTTTATATTTGGTAATTAGGACCGGCAAAGACTTTCCGCGCGCAATCATTAACAAAATTGTCTGCGAATATTGAATAAACAACGCCGATAAGGCGTCAGCAGCATTGTGTATATCAGTAAACTTGTAATTATGACTGTACGGATTAGTTTCTCTTTGTAATTGTAGAATTGTGTGTGTCTTTCGCGACTGTCGGATGGATCAATAATAGTCGGTTACTCAACTTGAAATCTATTTATAGGGGGGACGCACATTCGCGGATTATAATTATTGGAGAGGAGTTTATAAATACGTGAGTGTTTGTGTGTGTTTGCGTGCGTGCGTATGTCGAAAGTCGATCGAGGTGGATGAGTCTTGAGTCTCAAATCGATTGATTATGGTAGATGAAAGAGTTGGATGCTGCTGCTGCTGCTGGTAGATAAATGTGGTCATTGGTGGTAGTTGGTGGTTCTCTTCGGTCAAAGAATCAAGAGTAGAGAAGAAGTGTATACACATTTTATGAAGATCGCCTCGGGCACGAAGAGCTTGCTAGCTGCTTGCTTGCTATCTAGCCAGCTAGTCGTCATCAGGCCGGAGCCTCCCTCCTGCTGCCTGATGCCTAGTTTTATGCCAGAGCAATGATCTCTGTTTATATACGTGAACGATGCATGCATACACACACTCTTATATAGAACGCAGCATTCATACATACATAGTCTTGATAAAACCATCCTGCTACAGCATTACACACCGCAGGAAATTATGGTTTATCATAAATATAAACACTCGCATTTGACACTTTATAATTATTATGTAACGGCATCCACCGTCGCGTTACGTTTTCCTCCCTCCCTCTCCTCCGACGCCACCATAATTATTACCATCACCATGGTGATCATCAACAAGCAACCAGTCCCCCCGACGCCAACCGCGATCCATTTATTTTTATTCCCTTCCTCCTGTACCTCAACTCTCCTCTCCTCTGGACGTTTTTCCTGGTCCCCTCGTCTCTAGCCAGCTCATTAAACCTCTCTTCTCGTGGAAGAGGAAGAGAAGGAGGAGGCGCCTTCCGCGCGGAGGAAAAAAAACTTTTGCCGCATGAAAAAGGCAACGTTAAATAATTAATTGCAGCAACGAGAGCGACAGATACATCGACGTTACGCAATCGCAGAGAGGCGAGACGAGGTCCTTGCGTAACGCACGTTTCAAACGCCTCCTCGATTCTCTCGTTTTGGCGTTCAAGAAAACGTGAAGTTTTTTTTCCCAAAACAATTGCAATTTCATGCATTTACCGCCTTCACCAAACATACATGTATAGAAAAAAATTTCTATAGAGTAAATCTAAAAATATTATCGTTGAAACGTTTCCTGATTATTGAAGGAGAATTGAGGGAGATCAAGTAATTGGAAGATTGCGATTTTTGTTGTGAATGAAAATCGTAATCGGTTTGTCGGTAAATTGACGTTTTGTGCAGCGATACGAAGAGAGCGTGAATGCCCTTTTGTAACATTGAATGAAGAGGGCTTTTCGAGATTGACGCCAATGATTGAAACGATCTTTTGGTTATGATGAAATTATTGAGATAATCAATGACAATTTTGCGTTTCGCTTGCAACAATTTGTGGATTTGGAGGATCGATGAGAGACGGTGGACGATTCGATTAGCAAAGTGGCTTCGTTCGTAACGATGATGCACTCGCGATATATATTAATTGCAAATTAGCAGAGTGCGATAAAACATTGGAGTTTGCATGCAAACAACGGGAATGTTTGGCGGAGGAATGGCGCATCGGAAGGGGATTATGTAATTGCGAAGGTGGTTTTGATATAACAAGTGAATGTGGGTGTGTGTGTGTTGGAGAGGGGCGGCGGCGGTTGGCGGTGGTTTAGGTGTGTATATCAGCATCTGTGGGTCCCCGGGGATGGTCCGATGGGGGTCCCCCCCCCAGCTCGGTGGTATCGATTCAAAGCCCGAGTCACCGGCCACAACTGCAAAACCCTCTCACTCTCCCTTCCGCCCGCCCTTCGTTCCTTCAACCGACGCCCCCGACCCACTAAACCTCCTCTTCCTCGGCTTTTCCATGTGGCGCGGCGGTGGCTTTCCCGGCCTGTCTGACCCTCCGCCGCCGCCGCCGTTCTCTTACCCTTGGAAAATCTCCCACCCTTCCACCACCAGCACCATCTTTCTCGCGCGCACACACACAGCGCCCTCGACGACGCCGCATTCCATTGCTCACTTCTTCGGATATCATTCGATAATCATTTAATGCCGTTCATCCACCGGATTAACTTTTGGAAATCTTCGCGCGCTCGCTCGCCCCCTTCTACATTTTCGCAACTGTTGTCCTTCACTCAACATTCCATATTCATAGTATATTCCAATTGGACATTTCGCGTTTCCTGCTTGCTCGGCTTTATTGGCTTCGAGAACCATTGATGATGAAGACGACGTCGGCTCGTCGAGACATGTAGGTTGGTCAATTCGGACTTACGTCACACGACGCCTACTCGACGTTATATCGCATCTAAGACCACCGAAGAGAGCGAGAGCAGAAGTCTTCTACGTCTTCTAAATAGTAACACAAGTGACGTAAATTGCATAAATGATAAAAAAAGCCATAAGAATGTCAATTGTGGTAACTTAAATATGTTCATTATATTGATTAAGTTATATTAAACTCTTATAAGTTTAAATCAACTTAAAAAAAGCATAATGACTTGAATTTGTGCGTTGCGTATGAATTGAGATTAATTGAGAGATTCATCAGAGGCTGCTGTTCCTGTATGGTGTAATATAATGATTTCTGTTTTTTGTATGTGTGTGTGCATGTAATGATGCAATTTAAATGACCGGAGGGGGTTGGTCAAAGCCAAACAATTAATGGTGTACGGACGGATGACGTTTAGATTTTATTAATGTTTGTGCAATTTGTTGTGCGCGTCCGGATTAAATGATAAATGCCCAGAGGCATTTCGTTCGACGTGTCGTAAAATGGGCAAAAGGGCATATGCAGCGGCAGCAGCATCAGCCGCATAATCATTGAAAGTAAGGGTGGTGGGTTTTTGGTTGTTTGGTTTATTGGCAATAATGAGCAACATGAATGTTGATCGGTTGGCGACCGTTCAAAATCCGCCCTCCGAAACAGACTATGCTATAATACTAACATAGCATCCATGCACTGCAAGTAATATATAGTATAATATGGAGGAAGTGAGTGTGAGGGTGAGTGTGTGTATGTGTGTAAGCCAATCAGTGCAGCCCTTGTTGATTAAATATTGATCCGCTTGTCACTCGCAGGCGGGTCAACACTCGTGCCGCAATGTCCACTTCCACTATAATGCCTCACTCTATATAGCCTCGTTACATATCAACACTACTACTCAACTCAACGCGACTCGACTCGTTACATTATTATAGGAAAGCGGGGACCCAAAAACCCACGGCAACAACGCATACCATCATCCGCATACCGTACCAAAACTTCTTTCGTTTCATATGAGTACAAGACTAGTCTAGCTAGGTCCATCTGATCTGCTTCATAAAAATCAATCTCAGCTCATTAATGACTCGATCTTTGACCCATTCACCTTAGACAACGTCTCTCTCCCCACTCAATCCATCACCAATTATTTCATTATAATATATTCATTAGTTATTTTAAAATAATAGCGACAACGCGTTGCGAATTAAAATCAAACTATATATATACACACTGCTACATGGCAACTGCTTTGGATTTCAATAATTGCATTTTCATTTTGATAGAAAACATAAAAGACTTGTCATCAACATAAAGCCGAGTAGCAGATATCGAGATAAATTAAACGAACGTTCAAAGATCGTAAACAAAATAGCATTAAAAAGACGCCACAACTTTCTATTTGAAGTTGCACCGTTCAGAGCAAGCAAGGGAAGATAGTGCAAAACAAACAATGTCTTTCTCTTCACCTTATTTACGCCTTTCACACACACACACACACTTGATATTTATATTTTTCCGTTCGTTTCAAGTGTTTATGGAACGAATTGCGTTATTTTCTTTTTTTAAAAGGATTATTCGTTATTTATGCGTTGCTCTCCTCTCTCAGCAGCTTTCGAAAGAATGGCGAGAGAAGAACAAATGAAATGGGAAGGAAGTTCGAGCTGAGCGAAAGTTGGAGAGCTCTTTCGTTGCAGTGTTGCAGTTGCAATTTTTGTGTTTTAGATGGTTTAAACATGCGGTAGACACTTACTTGAATGTTGTGTCCGTGACTGATATGCATCGATTGGGCCTGATTGATCTGGAGGGTGGTGCCGTTGTTGACGTTACTATTGTTGCTGCCGTTGTTGTTGTTGTTGCCACCGCCTCCTGGACCGGAGGGCGGTCTCGGGGGCGTCGCGCCGCTGTATCCGGCACCGCCGTTGTTGGGCGCTCCACCACCGGACGTGCCGTTGTTGTTTGTCCCGGTGTTGGCACTGCGCGGAAGGTATCCGGGACTGCCGTGACTCCCGGGGCTGGGACTGCCGTACGGGCTGTACTGCTGCTTGTAGATGCCGCCTTTCCGCTTCATGTCGTAATCGCTGCCTTGGAAGATCATCTCCTGCTTGATCATGTCGGCCGCCTGCGGGAAGCTGGGACTGCTCTTGTAGTTGCCGGGATTCGGGGGATTCGGACTGCCGTAGTCTCCGAGTTGGAAGTCGGGATATGGGGAACGGGAATTGGGCGCTCGACCGCCGCCCGGATTGAACGACAGACCCATCTGGTTCTTGTGCTGATGCTGCTCGGCCATCTGCTTCAGAGTTTGAGCGGCCGGACTGAGCTCCGTCTTGGTGAAGTCCATGTTCGAGTAGGGCGGCATCCGTCCCTTGTTCTCGAACACAGGTGGCGAATAGTTTTGGCCCTGCACCAGAGGACTGTGCGTGTTGCCACCACCGCCGCCGCCACCACCTTTCGGATCTCCGCCGCCGCCGACCATAGGGATGTCCTTCAGATCCTCCACCTTGAGATCGACGTCGTGCTTATCTTCAAAGTCAAAGTTGAACTCGGGATAGCTGGAGATATCTGAGATGAGATCCTTGAAGGCCGGCGACGTGAAGATCTCGTCGTTGGTGTCGTCCCCGATGAGATCGGTGATGCCGCCGAAGCCCATGCCTCCGTTCGCGGCGTCCTTCTCCACTGCTGCCGCGCACTCCTCCAAGTCCGCGAAATCATTGTTCGGCTCCTGCTTCACGCACTCCACTAGGTTACTCACGTCAACATTGCCTCCTCCGCTGTTGACTCCGACACCCATACCGACTCCGCCGACGCCCATACTCAGATTCTTGTTGTTGTTGTTGTTTCCTGGCGTCGACGGATTCGATTTGGGCGAGGCGACGTCGCTCTTCACCGACGCATTCGTGTGCGCCTTCACCGTCACGTTCGTCGAGATCTGCTGCGGCTGCGAATTCGCCGCGGACGTCGTGAACTCGAGCTGCTGTACGATCTCGACGGAGAACTTGGTCAACCCCTCCGGCTGGTGGGAGCCGTGCTGAGTCGTGCATTGCAACTTCACCGGCGGCTCGAAGCTGTTGTTGTCCTGACCACCGGGTCCGCCCGGATCGTGATCCTCCGCGGATCGCTTCAGGAACTTCTGCTGCTGCAGGAAAAACGAGAGAAAACAGAAGAGAGCAACAATCAATAAAACCCATCAGATCTGGCAGACACTTACTCGCAACAACTCCATCCGATTCGTTTAGAGTTAAGCAAGAAACTAAAAGTCCATTATCAGTTTCATTTCTTTTTCATTTCAAATCTATTATCTACCATTAAAAAAAAAACAATCGTCGCACAGAAAATTGCCGCACAAAGAGATTTTCAGCTTAATTTCAGAGTGCATAAATAAAAGTGCACGACAATTTCAAATGCAATAATTGTGAAAGTAAGGAGAGAAAGAAGAGGTGACAAGAACATGCATGAGCAGGATGGGGGACGGTATGGATTTCGATCGGATGGGAGGAGAGAAAAGAGAGGAAAATTGTAAATCCAGCAACGGATGGCGAAGGCGGCGATCTCACCCCTCCCTTCTACAATATTCTACGAAAATTCCCTTTAAGAGCGAGGGCGAGAGCGACCGAACGACAGACCACCGACCCTTCCTTCTTCGTAGCAATCGTCGTCGTCGTCGTCGCCTCGTCATCGCATCGGACTGCATATTCATTCGGGGGGAGAGAAGAGAGACTATCTCGGCGCGCCTTTGTCACCTTCGTTTCGTCTCCTTTTCTTTTTCTTGCTCTTCCACCGACCAGAATGTTTCAACTAAAACTGGTTATGTTTGCCCATCACACTCAACCACACACATACACAACACACTCAAAGCTTCAGACAAAGACTTCTCATAGACATTCCTCATCTACACCAATAGACCTTTTTAAATATGACTCAACTTTCCAACAATAATACCCATGATCCATCCATCCATCCATCCATCGCGTATATTTATATTCAGAGTTTTCCCTACATCGCGTCGTGCCTCCCCAATTATATTATTGTATTGCAATGCTGCGCGTAAATTATTCGAATGAAAAGAAAGAAACCAAAGTATTTACAGTATTGTTGGCAAATTTATCAAGCGCTTTATGTGCGGCGATTCTCTGGAAAATGTTCACGTAACTCAGGTATAAATTGCCGGCCGTAGGGAGAAAGAAAGAGAGAGAGTGAGAGAGAACGAAAGAGTGAGAGACGTGGGGGAAGCGCGCGGGGGAAGAACGGGAAGCCTTCGGCCTTCTCGGCTCTCCTTCCTTCCTTCGTTCGGCCCGACCGTATTTCGAAAAATTATGCCACAAACTTAACGTTTTATGCCATTACGCCATTAGTATGTGCGCAGAGTAGCGTACCGAGAAAAAGGAACAAATGAACAACAACAAAACAAAAAACGAAGAGGAACGAACGCAGAGTCCTTTATTATTTTGTTTATGGTGCAGACCGCGCAGAGAGAGATCTCGGATTTCTCGTGTTCTCCTCTCGTCAGCAAACACACACACACACCTGCATATGAAATTACCGCGAAAGAAAATGCAAACAAAATCTAGCAAACAAACATTCTTTCGTCGTTGCTGTTGCTAGTGGTGATCCAGTTCTAAAATGAAAGTCGCATTGTTTTGAAAGCGAAGAAGAAACAATCAGCATCTGCGCGAAATTATTATATAGCCTCCGCGCTCTCGACACGCTCCGTCCGATTTCTACAATTTTTCTGCGATTTTCTAAACGGAACAACGTCGCTTCGTTCCAGAAATTGATTCGCACTTAAATTATCGTTGAATAGCTTCTTTTTTTCTTGCTTTAATCTATAGTTTATATTTGTGTTTCATGAATGTAATATCTAAGCGTTCGTTGTTGTTGACTTGGAGAGAAGGAACGAAAGAGATCTTTCGTTTGCGAAATGGCAAACTGTTATGTAAATTGGGTACAGTTTGCCCATTGTTACAGTTTGCTGCGCGTCGACTACTTCTTATGTTTTCTCTTCGTCGCTTTGAAACGCGTGTGAGCAGCAATTACAAACGATAACAATTCCGAAGACGTTAGGTGTCAGTTAGGAAATCGTCATCCTCCTATCCTCTCGCACACGTAACTCCACCAGAAACGTATTATTATATGATTCATGATTCGAACGCTAGCTACATCGTATTTGAAGCTAAGTGGCAAATTGAATATTTTTAGAGCGCAATCATAAGTGCACTTGCGTGTGATGTTGCCGTGTCTAAATTTACGCAGCCGATGTGATCCAATTCACGATCGATTCATGACCTGTCTAGTCTTTTCCGAGCATTCTTCGGACACCGAAAGAACACTATTGTCGTTACTTTACCATCATTTCTGGGAATGTCTTCGGGCAAAAGAGAGGGCGGTGACATTTCCGCGACGGCCAATTAATTGTTCAACGAGACGTGATTGAAATGCACAATCTTGAGGAGCCTCAAAGAAGAACAAGTAGAAGATCGAGAGAGAGAGAGAAGGAGAGAACGGACGCAGTGAGCGAGTTCAATGGAATCAATATGCAGCATTCTGCTGTGGCCAAGTTGAATGCCTAAATAATTCAATTACGCTCGTAAACGCCGTTCGCATCATCATCCTCCTCCTCCTCTACTTCTTCTTTGAACTGCATGATTGCACCTCAAGATGTATTAACATACGAGTTAATATGATGACCATATCGGACACCAATTAAACTAACACCGTGTAAACGTTTCCATTCGCAGCAATGATGATGGATCAAAGTCCAGAAAAGGGCAATGCAAAGAATAAAAGATGAAAAAGAAAAAGAAACAGTCAGCGTGGGCGTTTCAGCTTGTTAATGATTTAGCAAAGAGCAGTCGGAAAGTTGCCCCTCTTTCGACTCGAAATTAAGTCGTTATTAAATTACGCGAGAGAAGATGAAAGAAGTGAAGGGCTTCTTTTTTATTTATTTATACAAAACCCGAGAGTCGTTCGCAATAAATCCGTGGCGGCGCCGAAAGAAAAGTTTGCTTGAATTTCTTGTGATTTTCCGTTCCGTTTTTCTCCGAAGGATTTACGCAAACATATTTGAACGGCGACGATAAGCGGAACGAACAGTTTGTACAGGCGTTACGAAGAATCGAGCGCACGTGGACGACGATAACGGCGATAGGAAATACAAACAATAACAATACGAAGAGTTTTTATTGTTCGGACGTTTGTGAAGTGGCAACGCAAAAACGGACAAATTTCGAAATCTCTCCCAACGTGCAGAAGACATCACCATAATCTCGATACCGACATATTTACCAGCTCCGGTCGCTCTGAATCATCACGCCCCGCTGCACATGCAGATGTGTAAATAAGCTATAAAGGCGAAGAGGCGCATCTTTAAAAGTAACAGACTTTTGTCTTACTTGCCAAGTAACAAATGATTGAAAATAATCATATCGACTTCGGATCAATTAATGTTGACCAAAACTGTTTTATAACATTGACACACGATCGAAAGAGGAACAACAACAAAAAAAAAATAATGACCATCATTAGAAAGTACATAGAATGCATGAAGTTAATAAGCAATAGCCTTAATTGGGAATGTTAATTTCAATTAGCGGCCTCTGTTGGGTCGTTCCAAGTCGCCTGGTTAAGTGTAATAAAATTACTAAAAGCTGTTGCGTTTTTCCTCCTCGTTTCGGATAAAGACCTATTTATAGATCTAAATTCCTTTCTCTTTTTTTGTTGTTGTTGTTGCTGTTGCTGCTGCCGTATTCACCCGTATTTGTTTTTGGTTTGTTACCACTTCGTTCCTTTCTTTTCTCTCGCGGATTCTTCGGCGATGAGTTACGACTGCGTCGCGCGCGTTTTTCGTGTACCACCGTCGTCGTTTTCGTCTTCTTCGCATCATCAACAACAACAACAACATCATGTAAATAAGTCGGATAATTGAGACACATACAATTCCACGTGCTCGTACAGAGAGAGACACGATCACACACAAAATGGCCTTAATTAACCGGTCGAGAAAACTAATTGCTCGAGCGCAAAACGTCCCATTGCATTATTAATTATGTCTCTTTGTTCCTCCTTCGCTCCTTCTTCATATCCTTTTAATTTTTTTTTAATTCTCTTTTCACCGCCAACTTGTTGCTAAATTAAATCTACACAACAAGTTGTTTCCTCTTGCGAAAAACCGAATTCAAAGGATGCCCGTTCTTTTTTTCCTTCTCTGAAAGAAGGATGAAGCGCGAATGGGAAAAAATCAATTCACGTAAATTGCATGATTTCTTCCCTTTTGTCGTATATTCAGACAGAGTCGGATCTGAGGCCGGCACCGATCAGCATCATCATCTTCCATCATCCCGTGATCTATTTAAATAAGTACGTTATTCGAGTTGGCGTTTCTTTGCAAATTACAATGCAGAAGACACATTTACGTCGGCGGCGAGGTAAGACGAAGAAGGTAAATGGCAGGTAGATATTGCGGATTGCAAATGAGCGGCTATTATATGTTGTGTGTTTTTTTTTTCATCTTCTTCTCGGTCTCGGCTTGCGTGATTTGGTGCGCACACCGACCGACCAAGCGGAGAAGAGACCAGTGACAAGAGGACGAAGAGACAACGGTGGTGATTCCCCCCGAGGCTCGACGAATCGACGAAACAAAACGAAAAAAAGTATGCGCGTTCGTTTGTTTTCATTGTCAGCATCCACCGAGAAACATTAAAAATGCACACGCTTCGAATTGATTCGAGCTCCGCATGTTTTATGTCCTCCGCGATCGTTAAAACTTTATCTTAATTGAGTAAATTGTTGATGAATCACTGGGCGAAAGCAGAGCGCGCGCACTCACACACACAGCTCTCAGCATCATTACGAATGTTACAAAACCAAATCTACGTAGCTCAAAAACCAATAGAAAACGATACAGTGGACAGACAGTTTGATAAAAGTGATTAGTGTAGAGAAATTAAGAGACAATTAAAAAACGACATCAAGTTGATTAAACACGGTTATAAAAAAAATATGCCGATTTGCAGATTTCGTTTTTCTCGCTAATTAAATATCATTAAGTCTCCGTTGGACGCTGCCACTGCTTCTTAGTTTATTTTGTTTGTTTGTTTATTTTTTTGTATCCCTTTAGCTTCGGTATTAATTTCTCGACGCGGAGGCTGCGTGTGCACGAACGCGTGAACGGCAAATGAGCGAGAGGAGCTTTATGGTATTATTAAATGGCTTTAACGACTCGGAGATTCGTCAATAAAAGAAGAGTCGAATGCAAGAAGTTAAAGAGACACGGAACGTTGTTGCGTTTAAGAGAGTTTCCATTGAAAAGATAAATGAAGCTTCTTCGATCGATGCAGTAGAAGTGGTAGTAATACGATCGTTTTCTTCCGGCAGCCGGCTGCCTGATCGATATTTTTTCTGTTGCTGGAGCGGAAGAGATGCGGGGGTGATGGAGGAAGCCCACATCTTTAGGTTTAGGGGGGAAGGATGATGGTGGTTGGTTGGTTGTACAAATCTAGTGAAATGGGAAACACGTGTGTGTGCATCGAACTTACCACGTGCACGCTGCTCTGGATCGTGTCCTGCTGCTTCTTGTCTTTGGGCTTTGCGGGCCTCTTGGTCTTCTGATCCAGATACCTCTGCTTCAGCTGCAGAGTGTCCTGGAGGTTCTGCTCGCACAGCCCGTTGAACGATTGATCGAAGCGCGGCATGCAGTCACTTTGTCTTCGCCTGTAAGACTCGATCCTCCTACGCAACCTACGACAATCACCAACCATCATCATTTCAGACTCTCTGCAAATAATTACACATAATAACAAACATATATATATAGATATTAAACATGCAACTGCTAACAAAAAAAAACTACGGTACGATCACAAGTCTCGTCTATACGGAATTTCAGTTTATAGTTTGTACAATGATTTAAGGTACATCCAAAGCGATATGTTACAAAGCGCATACGTCTATCAAGGACAGATGATATTACGCGCGCGGCTGCTACTGCTGCACATGAATATTGTTGTTGTTATCGTAGCAAAATCGGTGCATGCAGAGCGCGAGTGCAGCAGCAATAGCGCACCGAAATAACAAGTCAGAGAAGACGCGATTTCAAAACGCACAAACAGACGAAAGTTTAGAGTCGATATTACAAATAAACAGTAAAAGAGTAAACATTTCCTCCGCCACCTCATATCAATGGTGTGTCAGAAGCAAAGCAAACGCGCTCCAAATTCTGATAAGATGAATCATCCAAACATCATTCCATCGTTATCTATCAACGAAAGAAGTCCGTGCGTCTGTGATTTTGCGCGCTATTTGAAATCGTTCGGAATTTCGCAAAAAAAGGTTCGCCGCGTATTATATAAAGTGGAGCAATGCGCGCTAACCTGCTTTTAGGTGTGTCCCCCTCGCTCTTTACAATGCAAGTGAACAATCTCACTACCTTGCACATTTTCATACACACTCACTCGCTCGCTCGCTCGCACACAAAGCAATACACATTCGTACAATACATACATTCTAATCCCGCCGGCACCACGTACACTTTTCATGCAATAAATTCATACGTAATATTTGCAACATTCCGAAACGCGCAACATATGATTCACTTACTGCAATAAGACAAAATCATCAAACAATAAAATTTCTTCCTTCATAAGTAATGCAATCAAATGTTTAAACGAAGACGTATTCTCCAGTTTCGCGTCCCAAATAAAGTGCGCAGACACGCGACGACAATTACCTAACCGGAGGAGAGAAGTTGGAATTCGAATTCGCGCAACAAAGGAGGCGGTTTTAGCAACTTGCGTAAGACGGAAAGAGAGCGCAGGAAACGATCGTAACGTTACGTAACATTCTCTCTTTCCTTCTCTCTCTGCAGGACAAGTCTGCAGGAAACAAAAACTTTCCGCGCAGGGCGCTCCATTAAGTAAATTAATGATTTAATAATCGTATGCAATGAGCGAGCGAGAAAAACCAACGTAATTTTTGCATATAATAAGGTCTGGTATGCAAAGCGCGCGCAAAAAAAAAAAATTGTGTACCGGCGTGAGAGACTAGAATTTTCCGCATTAGAATAACAATCTCAAGAAGCTTTGCCGCTGAGACTTCACATCGATATCAACGAATCAGTTTTACTTTTTGCCTCTTCTGTTGTTGTTGTTGTACCTGGGGGTTAATAATCAACGTTTTCCGACACCTTTGACCCTTGCCCTTTCTTTATCATCGTTTTTTTTTTTTTTTTGTAAAGTTGAAGAAGAATTAACCGAGAAGCCGACGTGATTTCGTTTTGTTAGCTTGTTTTGTTTTTTGTTTTGTTTTCATTCTTTGAATAATTCATTTATTTGGGCTGAGGAGGTGACCGGAAACGGGGTCAGAACTGAACGGAGGAGGAGGCCTCGTCGCTTCTAAGAATCTTTTCGATTATCTGCGGAATGCGCTTTCGGTAATTCGGCCACCAATCACAACAATTGTTGGTGGTGAAGTGAATAGTGATTGGTGAGGAGACGGAAAGTATTTTCATTTCGATCCTCTTCTTCTCTCGTTCTTCGTCCATTCCTTTCGTTTTCCTCTCCGACCGCCCGAGGTGTTTGAACTCTTCAAAAGTAAACATTATCGAATTAATAACAAACCAGAGCCCACTTGACGACTCAATTAACGCACGCGGCTTACGCACTCCACCTTCCTTCCTCTCACCAGATGATTGATCGTAAAAGAAAGAAAGAAAAAAGGAATTAAGTACGCAAATAGACCAACCTCCTTCGTCCATCCTCCTTCCTCTCAACAACCATTATCATTTATTTATTTTTATTCATCCTCCTCCTCCTCCTCATTCTCAAGCCCGAACGTAAACTAGACGGTTGCTGAACCTGCCATAACTGTTTACAGGCGGATACAATATTGTAAACTCGCAAACAAAAATTGGCCGACCGCCAATCAATATGCATACATATGCACTCTCGCACACTTACTTAGTGCACGGCCAACGAAGGAAACGTCAACAAACAAACAAACAGAAGAAGCGTTCTCGGAAAGCAAGATTGATGTAAATCAACAGTTAGGAAGGAAAGAAATTTCGATATTTCTTCTTCCAACGCGATTGCAAGTCTAAAACACACGGAATTTAAAAAAAAAACAAATTCACCTGCAAGAGAAACCACCGATGATTATGATGTTTTTTTTTTCTGACTTCGTGACTCATGAGGAATTGTTTACGCAAGTTCCAACAATTGCCACGATAATAATACTCTATACAATCTTTGTTTTAACTACACTCAACTACCAATATCTTTGCTTACGTTTGAAGAATCGAAAAGTGAATATGATTCACATTCGATACAATCAGTTAACAATATGAGTAATACAGTGGTGCCTCGCATAACGAACGCCTCGCACAGCGAACGCATTAACTGTCGAAATTTCAATTAAAAGTTTTCGTGTCGTGTCGTGTCAATTACAATTTAAAATAAACTAATAATTGCTGCGCTCAAATCGAAATCGTAACTTAATTGCGAAACGTATCTAAGAAATACTAACTAAGCGTTGATATTAGATGTATGTGAGTGGAGGAGGAAGAAAAGAAAATTTCAGGGAATTGCCGTAAATCGGAG